GCCGTTCCACCGGCGGTAGGCCAGCCACTCTCTGATACAACAATCTCTAAATTGCCTCCACCGGACTTCTCAAGCGCAGCATAGACTGCGTCAAGAATTGCATCGAAAAGATTATGGTACTGTAGAGACCCGTCTTGCACCACTGGCGCCGGAGTCGCGAAGAGGGCGTAATTAAGGGAGATGTCCTTAGTGTTGCCAATGTAACTGTAGTAAGGGTACAAGTTGACCAGCAATGGAGCTTGTGTGTTCACCAAGAAACGGATTACAGGGTTGAGAATCGGCATATATTGGCCCTTGAAAGATCCACTGGACGGAGGGAAAGATTCTCCGAGAGTTCCGGTGTCGATAGCCGTGGAAACTTTGATTCCAAGTCCGGCAGCCACAAGTGCATTTCGGATGTTCTGCATGGCGGGGACTAGAAACTGTGCAAAAGAATCCGAGGGCTTAACTTTGTTCCCGACCGCTATGTAGCGGAGCTTAACGTTAGCGTAGTTCTTGACGTTGTTTTGGACCCAAGCGTTGGCATTGTCCTGGCTGGCGGCGATGCGTTGGAGATCGGTGTTGGGGACGCCGAGCATGACCTCAATGTTGGTACCTCCGAGAGCTTGGAGCGCAGCTTGATCTGGGTCGTAGAGTCTCATCCTTCGGATGTTGTATTGGTTGTAGAGAGCTATGACTTGTGGGGGGGACGGTAAGTTGTTGCCAAGCATGCCATAGCAAACACCAATTTGGGCACCTGCATAAGATTTAATTCAACAACAACTTATATAATTAACCATTAATTTAATTTTTCTTAAATTAACTTTAAGTTGTGATTAATCTAGTATTGTTAAAATTTAAAGAATATAAATTAAAAACAAAAAATAACAATATGCATAACAATGTTAAATAATAAGGTTTTGATTGCTACTCCCTCTATCCCAATATAATTGTTATTTTATATTTTTTCCCAAATTAAAAATTATAAGATAATTTTTGTATTTATCTATGATACTTTAAAAAAGAAATAAAATATAAAAGAAAAACTTTTTGTGATTACATAATTAATTAAAGTGAATGGACAATAATAAGATCAAAATAGGAAATAAAAATTTGTCTATCTTAAAAGATGAAAATTAAAAACTAAAATTAAAAAATAAAAATACCAGTTTATTGAGTATAAACTTTTAGAATTAATACCTAAAACTAAAAACTTAATTAATTTATAAAACTTATTAATTTTATTTTAGGATATCTAAATTTTTAAAAAGCAAAACAAAAATGAAAAACTATAATCATATTAAACGGATGCTAATTTTCTTTGTTCAATGAAAAATCAAAACAGATATATAGAGTGAGAGGTTACTTGTGGTAGACAGGACGGCCATTAGAAGGCTGAAGAGGAGCATTGCTGATGAGATGAAACCATGTTTACTGGCTAAGGATAGTATCTTTTTTTTTGAAAATAGGTAATGAAATATTATTAGTAGAGGTTAATATTACACGATGTAGTATACATAACATATTAGATCACATCCTTACTCATCCATTGAGTAGGACAAACTACCTACTAGATACATCCTTATAAAGTAGAGCCAAAAGTCGGTCAGGAGGGCAGTGAGCCCAATAATGAGGACATGTACCTTTCAAAGTTGACTTAGCTGCCCAGTCTGCAACTGAATTAGCTTGCCTAGAAATACGCTGTAAAGAGAACCAAGGATTGGGAGACAACTTATCCTTGATGTCTGATATAATAGGGCTGATCTCCCATTGTACCTTGCTTAGCTTCCCTTGGACCGAGTCCACCACTAGTTTACAGTCCGATTCAAAAACAGCACGACTAATACTCAAGGATTGAGCAAAACAAATTGCAAAGAGCAAGGCGCAAGCTTCCCCAACAGCAGGAGATAAAGCAGGCCTCACAAATGAGCACCCTGAAATTAGTTGACCAGGCTCATTACGACACACCACCGCAATAGCAGCTCGGTGATGTTGTGGATCAAAGGCAGTGTCACAATTAAATTTATACCATCCAACTGAAGGTTTTTGCCATCGTATATCCGATGATAATCTCAATCCAGCCAAGGATGGAATTTGCAACCTGTCATGCTCTTTAGCGGAGAGGAATTCTTGCAATAATGCACTAGCTTTGCAAGCAGTTTGAATGGGGCTTTCTTGACTTTGCTCGAAAATTCTCTTATTACGAGCGCACCAAATTTGCCAGCATAAT